CGTCAGACCACGTGGGCCGTTGCAGCGGGTCGGGGAGGTCTCCGTGTGCACAGGGCAGCCCTTGAGGCAAGTGCCGCGCCCGGTCCGGGCCCTGCATCCCCTTTCCCAGAGCGGCCTTCCTCCTGCCGTGTCCGCGACGTCCTTCCGCAGGTTCACGCAACCGGTGTGTCTCCCTAGGAGGGAACGAATCACCCATGGTGCCCGGGACAGCCCTGGGGCGCCGCCTGGGTTGGGGTCCCTCCCCTGCACCGGGCACACACGCCCTCAGGTCAGCGTGGGCAGGGCCCTGGCCCAGTTTACAGGCACCGGGAGCCCCAGGATCCTGCCGTGAAGGGTCTAGCCCGGCGACTGCTGTCACCTGGGCCACCGTGGGGCCTTGCGCTGGTCTTTCCACGTGCAGGGAGGGGGACCACTGGAGCAGGGTTGCAGACCCACACTTCCCTTGCCCAGGCCCTCTGCCCCACACTTAAGGAGGGGCCGTGAGCTTGTGTCTCAGGTGTGAGTCAGCATGGGGAGCAGGACATGTGCATGCCCTGGGCTGCATGGAATTCTCTCTTGCATATCCCTCGGGACTCCCTGGCTCCAGGGTCACTACATGGTCACCAGCCCCCTCTCAGGGCCCAGCCATGCCCAGTCCCTCCTCCCAGATAGCGTGGAGAGGGGCCAGAGCCCCACAGGCCAGGTGCTCTCCACCTGGGCCCAGGGCCGCCTTCCTGCGCCTTGGCATGTTTTTATGGTGCAATGAAAATATGATTTTAATTCCTCAAATTGTTCCTTGTAACCTACAATTACCCCCGACGTCCTGTGCTCATCGCTTATGGCTCTGATTGCGCAAGAAAGTGGGGCGGCTGCTGCTGGGGGCAAGGCCCACCCCTCCCCTGCCTCACCCTCTTCTGGGAAACCCTCCAGCCACCAACCCCGCCTTCCTCCAGCCCCCTGAGGCCCCTAGGAGGGCAGATACTCAGGGAGGGTGACCAGTCCTGGAGTGCTGGACTGCAGACTCAGCCTGGTCCCCCTGCACACTTTGCACAGGCTGCTGGTGCCCCCCAGCCTCTCCTAGCTTTGCTGGATGCATAGCAGGGAACACCCCTACCGCCATACATGCCAGCCACGCTTTCACGTGGCTGGAGGCCCAGCTGAGGAGGTGACCACAGTGCCCAGCCAGGGGCCCTCACAGGCGGAGTTGCCCCATGAGAAACTGGCATCAGGTGGTGCCTGCAGGTCAGGGGGTCTGTCCTGTGGCCTCAGGTCTGGCTCACCTCACCTGGCCCAGGCAGCAGCTCAGGGTACCCTGGCCCCAGCACACTCCCCAGGGTTGGGCCTGAGCCCCTCACCCACCGCTCACTGCTGGATGCAGAGCTGCCAGAGCCCGTGGCCCAGGGCCCCACAAGAGGGCCACCCTGAGTGGACCGGACCATGTGCTGGTTCAGAGACCCAGGGCCATCAGGCCTGCTCAGACTCCGGGTGCCCAGCCCACCCTGGCCAGGGGCCCCTTGTGGGGCTTCACTGCCCAGTGCTCACGCTGCGCACATTCTTACAAGTCCATGTGAGAGGCTCCTCTGTGCTGGCCAGTCTGAGGCAGGAGCCCCAGGCTGTTCCCACTTGTGCCTGCCCTGTTCCCCTGCCATCCGCCCAGTGCATCTGCTTAGCCGGCAGCCGCCTCGTGTAGGGAGCGGGCTGACTCCCCCAGAGCTTTGCCCAGCTCCTGCTTCCTGGGCTTTCATGGAGCCCCAGGTCCTCCTTGGGGGTCACCAGCACAAAAGACCCTCTCCCAGGACTACAGGCAGTAAAAGCAGCCCCTGTAGCCTTTGGGCTGGCCTGCACTGCCTCTGCCTCCTCCCACTGCTTTCTACCCTCTCCTGGCCCTCCCCCCACCCCCACATCAGGTCTCCCCAGGGCTGCAGGAGAGGTCTCCCAGAGCCAGGGGGCCTCATGGGACAGCACCTTGTGCCCTGACCTTGCTTTGTTCTTCCCCCATCGGAGCCCGCTGTGCTCTCTCTGGATGCTGAGTGGCCCTGGGAGCTGCCTAGGTCCTTTCTGTACCAGGCAGGGGCATGAACACTGGCCTGGCCCCCTGGAACAGAGCAGGAGGGATGAGGAGGGGCCACTGGAACAGGCTCTGCGCATCCCAGGCCTGTCTGCACACCAGCCAGGGGAGGTGCCTGACACTGCTGACTAGTGTCTGCTGGGCCCTCTCCAGGTAGAAGGGGCATTGCCCAGGCCAGGAGTCCCAGTTCCAACAGGGCTGGATCGTGGAGGGGTTGGGCTGCCAGGAGCCTCCCTGGGAGAGCCTGGGGAAGGAAGGAGGCACACAGGCACCTTTGGGGCAGGTCCAGCCAAAAGTATCTGGCTTTGGAGACAACGAGACAGTTCTGAGATTCTTCTGCCAAGAGACTGATAACTGGGAGACACGAGCTCACGCGTACAGGCCACTCTGATGGTGCACACGTCCAGCTGGGGGTCCCCAGGGGCAGGGACAGGGCCGGATGATGCCAAGAGGGACGGCCTGGGCTCCCATGCCCAGCACTCCAGCATCGCTGCCAGGCCCACCTCCCTGCCCAGCAGATGTGGCCAGAGTTACCACTCCCTGTTCCAGACCCGCATGACAGGGAAGCTACCCTGACGGCACCTGGGCAGCACCCCTTCTGGCTGGTGCCATGGTGCGCTGGGAATGAGAGGGACAGAGGCTGTGTGCCCGCCCCCAAGTAGCCTGGGCCCGACAGGAGGTTGAAGCCTGCTTCTCCTGACACGCTGGGAGGGAGAAGACTGTTATACAGATGCTGCTTCTTAACCCGCAGGAGCGCGGTCACACGTGACAGGTGGGCGGCCTTCAGACCTGGGTCTGCCGTCTGTGGAGCAGCACGGCCAGGGCCATGCTGCTGAGCAGGCCTGGCCAGCCGTCCTCTCTCCCCCAGGCCCGGTCTTTCCTGCGGCCCAGCTTCTGGAGCTCTCGGGTTTCTGGTCCCGCCCCAAGGACTCAGGGAGCCCTGCGTGTCCTGGGCCCCAGCCAAGCACCTGTGCCTCCCCAGGGCCCTGCAAAGCATCTTAAAGCTGAGCTCCCCTAATCCCAGCCTGACGTGGTTTATGGTGCTCGGGTGTCCCTAATCCCGAAACCCAAGCAGGGTCCCAGCAGCCATCCCAGCGCCATCCAAGTGGGCAGGAGGAGGACGCCGTCCCTCGTGTGCCTGCTGTTTAGAGCTGGCCCCCACCAGGGACAGGGCAGGGAGCTGGGCCACAGGGTGAAGATCTCTGGAAACTGTGGAGGCCTGGCGGGTCCTCTCCAGCCTCTACCTGGGTGCCCAGTGGCAACAGGCCCCACTCAGGTCTTGAGGCTCCAGCCTCTAGGGTTTCAGGGGATGGTGATCCGGCCCTGCAGTTCCACTGAGTTAAGTTTTGTTTTGTCTTTTTTTCCCTAATAAAATCAGGATCTTTATGGCTTATGACTGATGATCAAATAACACCAAAGCTTGGGAACAAAGTGGGACCACAAACGAGAGGCGCTGTGGCCCTGTAATGTAGCAGCTGGGGGCCAAGAGCCTGCAGGGTCCAGCTCCCCACCCTGCCCTGACCCAGTCAGGGCACCAGCCAGTGGGCAGGGCACCCACAGGCCCCCTTCTCATCATAGTGAGCAACGCGGCCCCCATGTGGTGAGAAAGGCTAGCGGCCCCTCGTGGTCTTAGCATCTTTTAAGAATTTTACACCCCTGAGTTCCCCCAAAGCAGACGTAAGAGGCTTCTGAGCAACAAGGGTCAAGACGGGACAGAGTGGGAGGCGGTGACAGCAACGTCTGGATGTGTTTCATTGGACGAGTGAGAAAACTGATGCCCAGACCGCCTAGGAGCCCTGTGGGCGAGGTGGTGCAGCCAGGCCCCTGCCTGTGGGAGAGGCTGGACGGCAGGTGAGCCCTCAAAGCTGCATTGTCCTGCCCTGGTGGCTGGAAGTGGGCTGGGTGATTGTAATAATAATGTCCTGACAGCCCACCAGCGGCTGGGTTTCCATAGCTCGGACGGTATTTGGTTTTCAAAGTCCTTGGCAGGGAGATGGCCTACAAGTGGAGTGTTGTTCATGTCGGCCTGTTCTCAGCAGCTCAGAGGCCACCCGGCACCCGGCTCCTCTGCAGAGGTGCTTGGGCACGCAGGGCAGGGTGCTGCGCCAGGGGGCCCGCCCACCACCCTCCAGGGCCGCCATGAGGACCCCGCCTGTCCTGGGAGGCCCTCTGGGAGCAGGTCACTTCTCCAGCTGCCACCTTGCCTCCCCCCAGCAAACACCTGGCCCGCAGTCCTCACCCAGGCTGCTCCCTCACTGCTGCCTCCCCCTCCAGGAAGAACACCCTGAACAGCGTTTCTGTCCTGCCCTGAAAGAGCCTCCTCTTCACGTCTCTGTCCCCTGTGCGGTGCCCGCATACACACTGAGGCACAGCAGTTGGTCACGTTGGTGGGAAATCTTTCTGGCCATGTTTTCTGCTGGAGGCAGCTCAGAGCCTAGTCACACCTCCCTCGGCTCCCCAGCTCTGGTTCTCGTGTGCCAGGGCCACACAGGGGAGCAGGACGCCAGGTTGGCGGTTTCACTAACCCTGCAGCAGGCACAGCAGGACTGGTGTTTGTCAAGCAAATGGCGGTGCTGGAATGGGCAGTGACTGAGCAGCTTGTATAAAGCTGCCTTTTTCACAGACAAAAGTGATCAACTCTACACAAAATAGAAGATACCTGTTTGAAGACACAGAAGATCACCCAAAGCAGTCAGAAACTAGAGGGAATCCACCCACTGGAGAAAAGAACACACTGGGTGAGATCCACGTTGGAAAGTCTAGTGTAACGGTGCCTGAGAGGGAGGAAGGGGCTGAAAAAACATTTGAAGAAACAATGACCAATGTCATGAGTTTTGGATCAACTTACAGATACAAGAATCTCAGCCAATTCCACACAGTATAAACCCCCAAAGCCCCAAACACTAAGGCACAGCATAGTCAAACTCTTGAAAATCAAAGATAAAGATAAAATCTTGGAAGCAGCCAGGGAAGTAAGGACACGGTACACATGTCTGATTACACAGCAGAAAAAATGAAGATGGGAAGAAACAAAACCAAATTTATGTTTGGAAAGAAAGCCGTCCCGGAAATTTATGTGCAGCACAAACATTATTCAAAGGTAGGAGAGAAGTGAGGACACTTCGGTGACAGCCGGGGTAACTGCCACCCGTTGTGTGGACTGCAGGGACTACAGCAGGAGGTTCCTTGGGCTGAAGAGAAATTACACCAGGAAGAAATGAAGAGATGGTGGATGAGCAGGTAAATTTAAAACACTATTTTTCCTTCTCTTATTTTCTTTAAGACACTGATTAATGCAAGAATTATAACAACGCACAATTTGGGTTTATATGAATGAGAACCTACAACAACAGCAAAAAGATGGTTGCAAATGGAATGTTACAGTTACAAGGTTCTTACACTTAATGCGGAGCAGTACAGCGTTAACTGTAAGTAGGTTATAGTAAATTAAAGATGCATGTTTTAAACTCCTAGGGCAACTACTAAATATAACACAAAGAGGTACAGCCTCTTTGTGGAGTAAACACATTTGACCACATTCAGCACCTATTTATGAAAAAAACAAGGCTCGTGCAACGTAGGACTCAGAGGAAACTCCCTCGCCTAATAGATGGCATCTGTGAAAATTGTCGACAACTCCCACTGGACTTTACGGCGGAAGAACAGCCACTGTCCTTCCGAGACAAGGAACAGGTCAAGGACACCTGCTCCTGCTTTTACCAAACTTTATTCCTGAAAGTCCCGGCCACTGTAATGGGAGGGGAAATCACAGTTATACGCACTGTGTGTAGGTACACATGTACCTGTTACAGACAGGCATACAAATGACATTTGATGGGACAGAAGAAAGCACAGCCGTCTGTATTTGCAGATGACATGGTCACGTACACAGAAAACCCCGAGGAATCTATAAAATGACTACTGGCACTAATAAGTAAATTTAGCAAAAGCTCAAGATAAAATGTCAATTCTATTTTTCTATACTAGCAAAAACAATTGGAAAATTAAAAATTGTAAATACTCTTTACAATAGCATCAAAAACCATAAAATGCTTAGAGGTAAATTTGACAAAATTTGCCAAACTTGTGCCCTGAACTCTATCACGATTCCTTGAAAGAAATTGATAAAGACTTAAATAAATCAAGGGATATAATCTGTGCATGAATTGGAAGACTTGACACTGTTAAGATGCTCCCTATCTTCAAATTTATTTATGGATTCAACACAATCCCAATTAAAATCCCATTAGAAACTGACAAGCTGATTTTTCCTATAAATCGACAAGTTGATTCTAAAACATGGATGGAAATGCAGAATTAGAATAGCCCAAATAATTTCGAAAAAGGGAAAGAGGTTAGAGGACTTGAACTATGTAATTTTAAGTCTTACTATAAAGTTGCAGTACATAAGACAGGATGAGTTGGGACTAAGGACAAAGATCAGGGGACCAGAATAGAGGGTCCAAAATTAGACCCACCCACCCAATCACAGCCATCAGATTCTAATAAAAGTGCCAAGGTGAGGTGGCAGAGAAGAGGATAGGTTTTTCAAAACAAAAGCTCCTAGAACTATGGGATTTCTCTATGGATAACAATGAACTTTAACCCGTAACTCACACCATACATGAAAATTAATTCAGAATACACCACTGACCTTCATGTAAAAGCTAAAGTGGCAGAACTTCCAGAAGTAAACAAAGGAGAATGTATTTATGACACTGGAGTTGCATCATTTCTTAGGGTGCAAAAGCACTAGCCATCAAAACGTTAAGCTTCTGCTCTTCAAAAGACACCAGGGAGAAAATGAATAGGGAAGTGACACACTGAGAGAACGCTTTTTCCATCATGCATCTGACACTTTGAAATTCAGAATGTGTGCAAAAACTCTCACAAATTAACAAAAGATGATTAACAATCACATAAAAATATGGACATCATTCGTTACCCAGGAGACAAATCGAAACCACAATGACCGATCACTCGATTCCTGCCAGAATGATTAAAATTAAAATGATTAATGATACCAAGTGTCAGCATGGACGTGGAGCAACTGGAATTTTCATGCATTGCTGGAGGAAGTGTAAAAGTTCCAACTGCTTTGGAAAACTCTTGGCAGCTTCCTATTAATATATGCACCTACCCCATGACCCAGCAGGTCCACTCCCAGGTATTTACCCCAAAGAAATGCAACCTTATATTACAAAAAGCACTTGTTCAAGAATATTCATAGCAGCTTGATTAATAGTAGCTCCGTGCTGTTAAGATCTGTGCACTTCACTGAAGTAAATCTTACATCAATTGGGCGGGGGACCCACAGCAGCAACACTGGCTTCCAAAAGCTTGTCTCAGAAACAAGGCTGGTGGCTTATAAGCAACAAAAATTTATTTCTCACAGTTCTGGAGGCCAGGAAGTCCAGGGTCATGGCACTAGCAGATTCGGTGTCTGGTAGGAACCCACTTCCTGGTGTATAGACGGCTGACTTCCTCTGGGTCCTCACATGGTAGAAGGGGTGAGGGAGCTCTGGGCTCTTTGATTAAGGGCACTAATCCTATTCAAGAGGGCCCCACCTCCTGATACCATCACATGGGGGATTAGGATTTCAACATAACACATTTAGGGGAGGGACACAAACATTCAGTTCATTACAAGACTGAAGCACAAGGAACCCCAGGGGCACCAGGCTCAGTTCCTCAAAAAGTTAAATGTAGTGTTACCCTATGACTCACCAATTCCACTCAAGGAATATGCCCCAAAGAAGTCAGAGTAAGGACTCTGATACATGTACACCCATGCTCACAGCAGCGTTAGTCACAGGAGCCAAAAGATGGAAGGCACTCAGTGTCCACCAACAAATTTATGGATAAACAAAATATGGTACATACATGTAAAGAAATATTACTGAGCCTTACAAAGGAACAAAAATTCTGATAGGTGCCACACCATAATTAAACCTTTAAAACATTCTAAGTGAAATGACAAATAGTGTATAATCTCCTTTATACAAGGTGCTTAGGCAAATTAACATAGACAAAGTAGAACAGAGGTTACCAGGGGCTCAGGAAAGGGGTGGTGGGGAGAAGTGTTCTGGGGACAGAATTTCTTTTGGGGGTCATAAAAAAGTTCTGGAAAGGCATTTTTTGATGGCCTGGCCCAGTTTGATCAAGGTTTCGCACAAGCCTGCTGCCCACTCTCTGCTAACCACACTGAGTTGCCCTGAGCTGCCAAACTGTCGGCAACTCCCCCTCTCCTTTGAGGCAAGGAAGTTTAAATTATCAGGTCAATTAGGGAAGACACAACCGAAAAATACAAATTTCACTCACTTCCAGAAGGCGCTTCCTGGCTGGGTGCCACTTCTAGCATTTTTGGCTAGGCAGCTGAAAGCCCCGCAGACCCTGAGAAGATACAATGTAATCGTTGATTCGTTTCGATGATCAAAGCGAGTAAGTTTGGGTGTAAATGCAGATAACATTTCAGGGATGGTTTTATGAAAGGAGTCGCTAGACCAGGGCAGAAAGGGAGCTGGTGTTAACATCACTTCCAGTGACCTCTGCCACCTTGGTCCTGGTAACCCTCCCCGACCTGGGGTCCCCGAGGCACGAGGTCCTGGGGTGGCTTCCCCCTGCTGCGTGGGCACCGCGAGAACGCGGGGCGGAAGCAGGGGCCGCGCACGGAGGGCATCAGCTCCCCCGGCACCGGCCTTCCTAGTGTCGGGGTGCAGCCTCGCTGGGTGAGCGGCGCCCACGGCGAGGGAGCCGGGCCCACAGGGAACAGTCTCCGGGCCACCCTTCCCTGTCGCTCCTGGGCGGCAGGTGCGCAGCCCGGGCCCCAGGCAGGTCTCCAGCGAGGCGCACTCGGCGAGCACACCGGCCGGTGAGCGCTGTAGC